CTGTCCAGGACAGCAGCTCCTGCGTGGCACCCTGGGGTGGCTGCATTGTGCCTTCTCTGTGCACTTGGCATCTCCACCCTCAGAGTAGGGGTTGTGACAATGCTCATTCCTGGTTTCATGATGGGGTTTAATTCTGAAGTTCCAGAATCACGCTTTGACCGAGATTCCGGGGAAAGTGAAGAAGGGGAGGAAGAAGTGGGCGAGGGCACCCCACAGAGCAGCGCCCTGACTGAGGGAGAGTTCGTGCCGGACTCCCCAGCCCTGTCACCCATCGAGCTCAAACAGGAGCTGCCCAAGTACCTGCCCGCCCTGCAGGTCAGGCGCCCTCCCACCCCAGCTGGCTTCACTTTTCTAGTCACGATAGGGCCAGTGGCTGAGAGCAGAGGACGGGTGCGGGGTGGGGGTCGTCACCTGCGTGCAGTGAGCATCACTGGCTGGGCTCAGCCACTGGCCTCCCTCATGTCCATGGTTGTCATCTAGCCTCTTGCCCAGCAGCATTGCTGGGGGCACAGCTCCTGAGGCCTCATTTCACAAAGCCCATGGGCCACGTCTGTAGAAGGCAGGCAGTCTGGTGAGTGGCCGGCTGGGTGGTCACTTCTGCCGTTGCTGTGCAGGGGTCACGGCCGTGGGAGTCAGTGCACATTTCTGCCCAGAAAAACATCAGTAATGGGGGAAGTAGCAGGGAGGGACTAGGAAGGAGCAGGTCCCAAGAGGGACGAGTGGCCTCAGGTGCTCTGCCTCCCCATGGCTGGTGCCCCTGCTGGGAACAGCACTGCGGCCTCCCACTCGTTCTGGGTCCTTGTGGGCAGTGGGATTCGCTCTGTCGGTCTTGGTGTGCCTCAGTGTCCCCAGCTTTCTTTTTTAATATGTTTTTATTGATTTTTTTTAGAGAGGAAGCAGGAGAGAGAAACATCAATGTGAGAAACATTGATTGGCTGCTTCCTGTGCACCCCTACTGGGTATGGAGCCTGAAACCCGGGCATGTGCTCTGACTGGGAATGGAACTGGAACCTCTTGGTCCATGGGATGATGCTCCATCCACTGAGCCACACCGGCCGGGCGATAGCCCCAGCTTTCTTAGTGGCTCTGCCAAGTGGGACTTCTGAGCAGCGTGCCCCTGGCCACACGCCCCAGAGAGGATGGCAGCCCAGCCCTGAGCTCTGCCCTCACACCTGAGGGGAGACGGCCGGCCTGGCAGGGCACATGCAGGGGGAAGGCATGGGGCTGGGTGGTGTGGAGGGTGCTCCTGTCCTCAGTCTCTCAGGGCACATAGGCCAGACTTGAAAGGACATGCCTTGGACTGGCTTCTGCCCACGTTGGTTTTATTTCATAATGAAGGGGCACATGCTCACTGAAGAAAACAGGAGGAAAGCATTGTTCCTGCCGCACCACCCAGCACTCCGGTTCCTGGGGGTGGGGGGTGTGGTGCCCACGGCAGCCCCCCTCACACTGCTGCTTCCTGCCAGGGCTGTCGGAGTGTGGAGGAGTTCCAGTGCCTGAACAGGATTGAAGAGGGCACTTACGGGGTGGTATACAGAGCTAAGGACAAGAAAACAGGTGGGCAGGGCCTCGGGTGGACCCAGAGGGAAGGGGAGACGGGCCAGGACAGTGCCGAGAAGGGTTGCCCCTGGGCATGCTCAGCCCCTGTGGCTCTGGGAGGGAGGCGGGGCTTCCTGCTCATGAGTGACACATCAGGGCAGCTGAGACCTCCGTGCCCCCAGAGGTCATACTGACCGTGAGGCTCCATTGGGGTGGGGGTGGGGGGGCCCAGGAGCTGCTGGGGCGCATCCATCTGGAATGAAGACCCCGGCACAGGCTGGGAGCTGCAGCTCCCCCAGTGCACACGGCTGGGTTTTAGAAGGTCACAGAGGTTGAGCCGTTGAGTCCTTGGTGATGTTTGTGTTGGGCTGTCACCGTCTGTTACGTGTGCTGTGGTCAGCAGGGACACGCAGAGGAGTGGGAAGGCCCTGCTTGGCAGTTTGGCACAGAAGCTGGCCTGGAAGTGGGCTTTGTGTTCCCAGTGGGTTTGCGTCTGTGAGCTCCCAGCTGGGGCGCAGCCTCGTGCTGTGAGCTAGGATGGGCTTCACAAGCCCTGGTCCACGCTCACGGGAGGAGCTTCTCCCCGTGTCTCTTCACTCTGTGCAGATGAGATCGTGGCTCTAAAGCGGCTGAAGATGGAGAAGGAGAAGGAGGGCTTTCCGATCACGTCGCTGAGGGAGATCAACACCATTCTCAAGGCGCAGCACCCCAACATTGTGACCGTCCGGGTAGGCAGCCCACCGTGCCTGTGCACCCTGCGAGGGTCATTCAGGGTGCGACTCAGGCTTAGCTCTCTCTCGGGCAGAAATGAAATCTGGCTTCCAGAAATGTCAGGCACTTCCTAGTCTTCACTCAGGTCCTTGCTGTCACCCGGCGCCTGTCCTGGGATTTTAGGCTTCCCGGGAGAGCTGGGATCACGGGTGGGAGCAGGGACGCCCGTGCCAGCGGACCATCTTGCTCCTCAGGAGATCGTCGTGGGCAGCAACATGGACAAGATTTACATCGTGATGAACTACGTGGAGCATGACCTCAAGAGCCTGATGGAGACGATGAAGCAGCCTTTCCTGCCAGGTGGGCTGGGCTGGGCGGGCCCTCCTGCCACCCTGAGGGCGTCTCATAGGTGCTCCTTCTGGCCTGAGTCCCCACACCACAGGCATTGTCCCCGGGGCAGCGGGATGCTGACTTGGTGACTCTGACCCCAGCACGTGGTGTGTGAGGCCACACTGGGCCGGGCGTTCCCAGGGTGAGTGCACCGTACCCCTCACCCTCCAGGGGAGGTGAAGACCCTGATGATCCAGCTGCTCTGCGGCGTGAAGCATCTCCATGACAACTGGATCCTGCACCGTGACCTCAAGACGTCCAACCTGCTGCTGAGCCACGCCGGCATCCTCAAGGTGAGCCCACAGCCGCCCGGGTACCTGCTCCCAGCTGTGGGCCCACTCACCACTGTGCTGCCCTTGCAGGTGGGAGACTTCGGGCTGGCGCGGGAGTACGGGTCCCCTCTGAAGGCCTATACCCCAGTCGTCGTGACGCTGTGGTACCGCGCTCCGGAGCTGCTCCTGGGTGCCAAGGTGAGTGCCGGGTCATGTGGGGCCTGTTCTGCGGGTGTGGCCCTGCCGGCCTCCTGAACGTGTCCCTGTTCCCAGGAGTACTCCACAGCTGTGGACATGTGGTCCGTGGGCTGCATCTTTGGGGAGCTGCTGACTCAGAAGCCACTGTTCCCTGGGAAGTCGGAGATTGATCAGATCAACAAAGTGTTTAAGGTGGATCGGGGCGCCTTGCTTGGTGGGGGGGGTGCTGCTGGGCATGGCTGTTCTGAGACATCCGTTCTTTCAGGACCTGGGGACTCCCAGTGAGAAGATCTGGCCTGGCTACAATGAGCTCCCCGCAGTGAAGAAGATGACCTTCACTGAGTACCCCTACAACAACCTGCGCAAGCGCTTTGGAGCCCTGCTCTCGGACCAAGGCTTTGACCTTATGAACAAGTGAGCCCGGTGGGGTCCCCACCCCTCCCCTCCCCTCGACTTCCCCACTCTACCCCACCCCAACAGAGTGCTCCGTGTGCCTTGTGTTCCCAGGTTCCTGACCTACTTCCCTGGGCGGAGGGTCAGCGCAGAGGACGGCCTCAAGCACGAGTATTTCCGAGAGACACCCCTCCCCATCGACCCCTCGATGTTCCCCACCTGGCCCGCCAAGAGCGAGCAGCAAAGGGTGAAGCGAGGCACCAGCCCGCGACCCCCCGAGGGAGGCCTGGGCTACAGTCAGCTGGTGAGGGGCGGGCTGGCAGGGGAGGGAAGGTGTGAGGGGGTGTCCCTGAGGAGGGGCTGGCCCGGCCGGGGCCCCACAGTGCCACTTGCTTCCCAGGGTGACGATGACCTGAAGGAAACCGGCTTCCACCTCACCACCACAAACCAGGGGGCTTCGGCTGCAGGCCCTGGCTTCAGCCTCAAGTTCTGAGGTTCAGAATGATCCCAGACCAACCCTGGGGACCTGGCTGACGGGGCTCAGCGGGGACCAGGGGCAGTAACTGGAGGCACTGTCGGGGTCAGACGCAGGTCCTGCCCCAGCGACGCAGCTGCTGCAGTGAATAGTGACCGCGAGTCCGGACTGCTGGTCTTATTTGGTTTTCCACGTTCCATTTGTTTTCTCTTGGCTTGTACATTTGTAGAATTAAATCTTATTTCCTTGTGGAGAAAAAGGCTGTCTTTTTCCAGATGTCTCCCATTTGCCCATTGAGGAGAGGAGGGGGCATCAAGGTGGCCAGTGTGGACAAACAGTGTGCACGCGTGCACGTGGCCACGCGACCGTCTGCAACAGTCGGGTTTTTTCTTCCTAATCTGAGGCTCCTGGAGCACCTCCTGTGCTCACCAGGGCGTCCGGAGCCCAGGGTCCCCAGGCCCTCAGCTGGGCCTGCCGCTGCCACGGAGCTTTGCACGAGGTGGTTAAACACTGAAGGTGTAGTGCGTGTTCCTGGAGAGCAGCCCTGGTGCGTCCTCTCCACGGCCGGCCGAGCCTGGTCCCCGCCGTGCTGCCTGCAGGCCCTCGGGTCCCACAGATGAGGACCCGGTGCGGTGCTTCTGACCCACGGGCCGCCTCTTCCAGCTCCTCCTAACCGCAAGGGCGTCCCTCGGGCAGAGGCACGGTGGCCGGGCCGTGTCGCACCTGTCGCACCGCCGCCTGCCCTCCACCTCCGCTGAGGTGCTCGCTTCCCCGACCCGCCCCCTCCCACCCCGGCCTGCTGCCCCCCTCACGGGGCCTCGTGTGCCCCGTGTCCAGGGCCAGCCCGGCCAAGCGCTCCTTGGCACCTTGGTCTCCGTCGACTGCGTCCTCACCCAAGAGGCTGGGGGCAGTTAGGGGGCCCCGGCCCAGGCTCCTCACATCAAGCGGGGCACGGTCTAGGGGGCCCCAGCCCACGAGGCCCAAGACTAGTCTGCCCTCCCAAGAAAGGGCGCGGAGACGTGAGAGACAAAGCGCTTTATCAGCGGCCCGCGGCCCACACTCAGCTGCGCACGCGGACCCGCCAGGAGAAGGTGCTGAGCACGCGCTGCCGCCGGCGCACCACGCACGTGTACGTGCCCTCGTTGATGGCGTTGGCGATGATGCTCAGGTGCGCCTCGCCCAGCGCCAGGTAGCCGGGGTAGGAGAACTCCAGCGGCTCCTGGTCCTTGTACCAGCTGCGGAGGCGGGAGGCGGGACGCGAGGCTGGGCAGGGTCCCCAGCCCGCCGCCACCCGCACTGCCGTGGGCGCGCCACTCACTGCACTTTGCCTTTCTTGTGGAGCAGCTTCCGGCCGCAGCGGAAGGTCACGTTCCTGCCCTCCGACACCAGCCTGGTTTTGGTCCTGGGGGGCGGCGCGGTGGCGGCCACCGTGGGAAAGGGAAACTCTGCGCGGGCAGCGAAGGGCCGCATCAGTGCGCGCCCCGCGCCGCCCCCCGCGCCGCGCCCGCCGGGCTGGGGAGCCGCCCCACCGTAGCAGAAGTCGCAGCTGCTGGGGCACAGCCTCTTCATGAGCCTCCGCCGGGCGTCGCAGAAACCCCTCCGCGCCCAGGACGCGCACACGAACAGCCGGTCCAGGCAGCCTGCGGGAGGGCGGCCTGGCCTCAGGGCCTGCCCGGCACCCCCGCCCCCCGCGGGCCCCGCCGCGCGCACCCACCGTACAGCCGGTGCAGCCCCCACAGCTCGTCCTGCGACAGCGCCTTCCAGCCGCGGAGCGTGGCGTTGAGGTGCATGAGCGCCCGGCCGTGCTGCGAGTGCATCAGGCCCAGCGCGTGGCCGATCTCGTGGGCCGCCACGTGCACCAGGTCGGTGAGCCACACGCCTGCAGGCCGCGCGGTCAGCGCCTGGGGCCCGGCCCGCCCGCCTCCCCGGCCTCGCTCCCCGCGGCCGCAGGTCCGCAGCGCAGCGGCCGCGGGCAGGGGAGGACGGTCGAGGCCGGCGCGGCGGTAAGCTCGCCCCCAGGAACGCGGCCCCGATCCTCTCCAGGGGCGCGCGAGCCTGGAACCCAGGCCTGTGGCCGCCTCCCAGCCTCCCCCTCCCGGCCTGACCCCACACCACCGCCCCCCCGCCGTGACCCGCAGGAGGCGGGGCTGCCGGCACCTTTCTTCCAGCTGTAACGCGTGGGGCCCAGGACCCAGTACTCGCTGTCGTCGAAGTGGATGCCGCCGTGCGGGGGGAAGAAGGCGTGGGCCAGCTCGCCCGTGGGGCCGTCGAAGCAGTGGTGCAGTGCGGACACCAGGCAGTCCGTGTGGTTCACCGGGTAGAAGCCTGGGGGGGGGAAGGGGCACGGGGCTGAGAACGGGCCCGGGGGAGGGCCGAGGGCGGGGGCGCGGCACCCACCTATTCGGAGGTCACTGGACTGCTCCGGGGCCACCTCGCGGAAGCTGAAGGGGGACACGTCACTCCACATGCGGAAGGCGGCGGCCAGGCCCCGCCGGGTCTCGCTGGGGCTCAGCAGGTTCCGCGGGAAGGAGAGGATTCTGAGGTGGGGGCAGGGTCAGGGGTGGCGGCTGCGAGGCGGCTGCCGCGCTCCCCCCAGGGCCAGGGTCGCACCTGTATGTGAGGTTGAAGTGGTCCCAGCGCAGCCTGGCTGGGGTCAGCGTGTAGCGGCGTCTGCGGGGCGCCTGGGGGGCCAGCGGGCCGGGCCCCGGGGTGGTGAGGACACCGGCAGGGTGGGGCGTGGCGTCTCCCTTCGGGGGAAGCAAGTGCTCCGGGGAGGCGGCAGGGGCTGCCCAGGTCCGCAGCACGAGGGGAAAGGGCTGGAAGGGAACGGGGTGGGCGGCACTGACCCCACATTCTGTCCGCCTGGCTGTTCCACCTCTAGCGGGCCAGTGTCAGTCGTACCGCCCGAAGGAAAGAGGTTGCTAAAGACAAGCCGGTCCCAGTGGGCGGGGCCGGAGCCAGCTGCGGTCTCCCACCCCCACCGCACCCGGCACCGCAGACGCGCACTGGCGGGCGCTCGGAATCCTGCGCCGGTCCCGGAGCCGGGAGGGACTCACCTGCGCTGCGCTCGCGGCGGGCCGAGCGGCCGGTGCCCCCAGCCGGACCAGCAGCACGAGCGCCGGCAGCAGGCACAGGGTGCCCAGCACAGCCCCCAGCCAAACGGCCTGCGTGCGGGCCCCCGACGACGCCCAGGGGACGCAGGCCCCGCGGGCCATGGCGCCTGCGGACTTGCTGTGGGGGCTCAGGGCCCGTGGGCTGCGGGACCTGCAGGAGCGCGAGGAGCCGGGGGAGGCGCTTCGGCGGCTCAGATTACAACCCCGGGGTGGGGGTGGGGAGGCGGGGGCGGCCACCCCTGAAGGGAACCAGCTGGCCATCCTGCTGTTGGCGCTGGGACCCCAGGCCTGGGAGTCGGTGGCAGTGGCCGGGGCAGGGCCTGCTGGGCAGGGACACTTGGGCGGGGGGTAGAGGGTGGGGGTGAGGAGGTACCCGCCTGCCAGGAAGGGCCAGACGCCAAGTGTTCAGGATCAGGCAAGGATGGTCAGTTGGGATCCCAAACTGGCCAGAGCTGAATAACCCGGTGGCATTTTTCTCGATGGAATCCCCCCAACCCTCTGGACACTGAGACCCGGGAGCGGAACCTCCAGCCAGGCCAGCCCAGGACACGTCCCCTGCCGGGCTGGCCCAGCAGGGTCCCTGCGAGAGGGGCGGGGACACGCGGGAGGGGACGTGGCAAGTGAGTACAGGCGGCTGAGAGGGAAGAAAGGCGGGGTAGGCGGTTTGGGGATGACGCCAGGAGGGGGGGACCTGCGGGGGTCCCACCAAGAGCTGGAAGAGGACAGTGGAGGGACCCTGTGGGGTATGTGGGGGAAGGCGCGCAGGGGCAGGGGCTGTGGGGAGCCAGGCATCGGGACTCCGCTCTCCCAGAGGAGCCGGGCACAGGGCCCGAGTTTGGAGCGGTCCTGAGTGGGAGGTCGGGGACGGTGTCCTGAGGACGAAAGGCTTGACGGGGCGGCCTTGAGGCTGTGCCGGGGTGAGGAGTCCAGGCAGGCTGGGTGTTGGCAAGGGGGCCGAGTGGACTAGAGGGACGAGAGAGAGGTGGGAGCTGGAGGTGAAGTGTGCGGGCCGAGGAGCCGGAGGCACTCGGCTGAGGGTCCTGGCCCTCCCCTCTCCATCCAGGCCTTGAGCCCAGAGTGACAGCGGTGTGCCGGGCCAAGCGGGGCCAGTGCCAAGTGCCTGGCCAGCAGCCACGAGGCTCTGGGGGAGCATTTCGGGTGGTTCTTGGAAAGCACCACGGCGGAGCCCAGCCGGAGCAGGGTCCCTTCTTCATGGCTAAATATTTGCCCAGCAAAGCTGCCCTCCCCGTCCTATGCCTGCCCTCTCCCCAGGTCCTGAGGCTCTGCCGGGGCCCCTGGCCCAAAACACGTTGCACACACGCACCCCGCCCTGCTTCACCAGGGCCGGAGCTCACAGCAAGAACCAGGTCCTAGTTCGGTCCAAGTCCGTCTCCACAGCCTGCCCAGGTGAAAAGAGGGACGGGGAGGGGACCTGTGCCCGGAGGATGTTTCCGGCCCAGAGTTTGGGGGTCTGGGCAGGAGTCTGGACCTGGGAGCCCTGGGCAGGTCAGGACAAGCGGGCTGGGAGTGGGCGGGGCGTCTGGCCGCAGGACAGGGCCCACAGCTGGGCTCGCCGCAGCGGAGGGCCCGTCAGGACAGCCCGGGGGCTAGAGCCGTGGAGAGGGACCCGGGTGGGGACGGCACCAAAGCTCATCTGTCCCGGAGCGGGGTGCCCACCCCCCCCCCCCAAGGCAGGCACAAGCGCCAAAGTCTGTGAATCTTTTTATAAAACATAGGGGGGGCTCGCGAGGGTGGTGCCGGGACGTGGCTCCCGAGCGAGGGGCGCGGCTACACGAAGATCTGGATGCGGTCGCGGATGGGCTGGCGGCAGATGGGGCAGGCACTGAGCGCGGCGCCGCAGGGCGCGCAGGCGCCGTGGCCGCACTGGAACACGAGGCGGATGTGGCTGTCGATGCAGATGGGGCAGGTGATGCGCTCCTCCATCTGCCGGTAGCGGCTCTGCAGCTCCTCCACCAGCTGCCTCGGAGGGCCGGGTGCGGGGGCTGCGCCGGCCACCTCGGTGCCATCTGTGGGCGGGGCCTGGGTCAGGCGCAGCCACGGGGGAGGGGAGGCCGGCCCGCCCCTCCTGCCCAACCCACCTGGCCGCAGCTTCTTGCTGATGACCACCTGGCACCTGATGCACTTCTTCATCCTGCGTGCGCACTCTGCAGGGGAGTGCGTGGTCAAGCGGGGCTGCGCTGCCCCGCCCCACACGACCCGCAGCCGGCGCCGGGCCCCCCCCCCAACTCACCCTCGCACACCGTGCGGTGCTCGCACGGAGAGAACAGCACCAGCAGCGCCAGCTCGGAGCACACCAGGCACTCGGCTGCCTCCGGCCCTGAAGGCGTGGCCACGTGCAGGTTCATCATGGTGTTGGGGATGCTGACCACCGGCCTGGGGCCTGGGGCCGTGCCCGCGTCCGCCTGCCGCTCCCTGCAGTTGGAGGAGGAGGAAACTTGAAAGGACCCCGCCCAGGGGCCCGGGTGCCGCCCACCACCACGCGGGGCTCACCGGAAGCGCCTGGCACAGGCCTGCAGGGCCTTGAGCACACGGCCCTCGGCAGCCAAGTCCAGCGGGCAGCGGCCTCGGTGGTTGGTGTAGCTCACGTCGGCGCCCTCCAGCGCCAGGAAGCAGGCGACCGCTGCGCCCACCGTCAGCTCCGCGCTGGCCGGTAAGCCCGAAGCCTGCAGCTGGGTGGCAGACAGAGGCCAGTGAGGGTGGCAGGCCTCAACGGGGACACTGGCCTGAGGGAGCCTCTGCAGACACCACCTGGCCCCAGCCTGGGGCAGAGGCACGGGCACGCCCTCTGTCTGAGGCCGCTGGAATGGAGGCAGGCAGGAAAAGCACCCGAGAGGGGGCCAAATTCTGACCACCCCCCACGCAATCCCCTCTCCCAGGCTGGCCTGGAGCGCAGAATTGCAGAGATGCTAGCCACACTTGGTGACCGGGGCAGAAGACACCTCTTGCAAACCGCAGCCCCAGGGGGCTGCCCCCCACCCCCACCAGAGGGCCTGGCTCCCAGGGGTCACCCTCAGTGGAAGTGGGCACGCAGGTCCTGCCTGGAGCCCGCAGCCAGGCCCGATGGCCCACCTCTCCAGCACCCAGATCCACACTTCCTCACCCTGGACAGCAGCTGCACAGTCCCTGGGTCCCCCCTGGCCCCATCAGCCGCCAGGGGCAGCAGCTGATGACGCTGCAGCGCCACGTGCAGGGCTGTGTCCCCCTCCTGGTCCTCCGCGTTGACGCTGCAGCCCGCGTCCACCAGCAGCGGCACCAGCCCCATGTGGGCCTGTTGCACGGCCAGATGCAGCGGGCTCTGGAGCTTACGGTTTTGAACATTCACATCACAGCGGCCCTGTGGGGGACAGAGGCTCAGCCCAGGGACCCTGGTGGGCCCTGACTGCCACTCCTGGGGCCAGCTGGGGACCCTGCATCCACACCTCTTGGATGAGAATCTGGGCCACCTCCTGATGGTTGTTGAGGGCGGCCAGGTGCACTGCGGTGAAACCGTCTTCCTTCTTGGCATCCACCAGCTGCCGCGCCCAAGCCAGAATCCTCCTGACAGCTCTGTGGGAGCAGGGAGATGTGTCTTGCTGAGGGTGTCCCAGAGTGCCGAGCAGCCCGGCCAGAGCCTGTCCTGGCTGTGGCCACCCCAAACTCACAGCGTGTGGCCCTTGAGGGATGCGTAGTGCAGCAAGGTGAAGCCCTGGCTGTTGGTGGCAGTGACATCAATGCCCGGCACCTCAGTGAGGACCTCCACAATGCCGCTGGCGCCGGTGCCCGCAGAGATGGCACAGTGCAGGGGCGTGTTAGCCTGGGCATCCTGTCAATGGTGGGCCCGTGGTCACTTGGTGGCAGGCTTCCTAGACCCCAGGGACAGGGACCCAGCACTCAGCACTCACGGGCAGGTTGACATCGCAGCCCAGCTCACACAGGGCCTGCACCACCTCTAGGAAGCCCCTCTGCACCGCCACGTGCAGCGCCGCGCTCCGGGCGCTGTTGAGAGCGTTGGCCTGGCACCCTGCACTCAGGAGCAAGCGGGCGGCCTCAGGCTGGTTCCTGGCGGGAGAGGAGGCGGAAGGGTGCTGTGCCCACTGGTGGAACCCAGGCCCAGCCCCCACCGAGACTGCCGGCCTCACCCCAGGGCTGCATAGTGCAGAGCTGTGTTGCCCTCGTCATCCGGCAGGTCCATGCCCGCCCGGGACTGCAGCAGCAGACGCACCAGCTCCACCTGGCCTAGGTAGGCAGCCACCTGCAGGGCCGTCCTGCCCTGGTTCTTGGTGTCCACCTGCCAGTAGCGCCAGCAGGTTAGTTCCCAGCCCTCTGCCCCCTCCCTGGGGCTGGCCGAGCATGGGGGCGCAGGGCAGGGTCTCGGGAGCGTGCCTGCTCAGGGTGCCTCCGCAACAGGTCCAGAGCCCGGGCCGCGTTGCCCAGGGCCACCTCCACCACCAGCCTCCCTGGGTGCTCCAGGTCACTCTTCTGGGTGCGAAGCTTGTCCAGGGCAACACTCAGGGAGCCTGGGGTGGGGGCTCAGGTTGAGCAGGGGTCAGGGGCAGCCCACCCCCCACTGGTGTCCACTGCTGGGGCCCGCACTTTTGCTCTCCCTGGCACGCTCGGCCACATCCAGGTTGGCATCCTCCTCAGGCCGATAGGCTACCAGGCAGGAGGGGCTGAAGGTCCACAGCTGACCACCAACCGCCACACACAGGTTCCCATCTCCGAAAACCTTCACCACTTTCCCGACTCGGCCCAGGGCCTGAGGAGAGGGTAGGGTCACAGGCCAGTCTCCCTGGGTGTGAGGGAGGTGGGGTGGGGCAGGGGTGGGGGTCTCACAGGCGCCATGTCATCTGTCCACTCGCCATGCCTGGCCTGCAGCCGCTTCGCTGTGTCAAGGTCGTCGATGACCCGCACCACATCACCCACCCAGAAGGAGTTGTGCTGAGTGAGAGAGAGGCCTGTGAGGGGTCCCCCAGATCAGTGTGGCTGCCCAGGGTCGGGGAGCAGGAGGCACCCCCAAGCTCCACAGGTTAGGCAAGTCTGAACTTGACTCCAGCCCCTGATAAGAAGCACAACCAGAGGGTCTGGCTGGACAGGGGCCCCTGGTCACCAGGGCAGCCCTGGGTGGCTCACAGCTCAGCCCCAGTGTCAGGAGGGTGACAGCTGGGGACCGTGGCAGCAGCACATCCAGACCAGACAGAAACCAGCTCTGCGCTGGTGAGGCCCAAGCCGGGCCTGTCCTCACACGGATGGGGAGCAGGCAGCATGGCCGAGGCCAGACCAGAAGGGCGTGGGGTGTGGCCCCAGCATGACCGTGGCAGGGCCCAACCCCCACACCTGTGCCCCCGCCTGCACAGGACTTGCTCTACAACCACCTGTTTTGTGGCCCCACACACCCTCGAAGGCCCCCAGGAGTCCTGACTCCAGGTCCTGAGGTGAGTGATGGCACAGCCCCTCCCTGGCACCCACTCCTTCCCAGGCCCCCTCCTAGCCACCCACTGACCTCCCACCTCCTCCGTTCCCATCTGTGAGTCCTGCTTCCCCAATGCCTCTCCCCAGGCAAGCACCACCGTTTGTCCGCAGGGGACCCCCCACACACACACCTCTCCCTCTCGCTCCCACTGCAGCAGCAGGAGCACTTCGGAAAGTAAACCAGAACTGTGGGGGCTCCCTGCACCCACCCTCCTGTGTCCCTCCACGCCTCCCTCAGGGCTGAGCAGGTCCATGGAGGGGGAAGCAGGTGGAGGGGCTCAGCCCAGCCCCCATGCACCTTGGTGAGAGCCCCGGGGTGGAAGGTCCAGCGGGTCTCGTGGCTGAACTGCACGCGCACGTCCCCACGGTCCGTGATGCGGTGCACGGTGCCCATCTGTCCGATGAACTGTGGCGGGTCGTGGAGGCTGTGGCTAGGGGTCCAGGGGATGTGGGGAGGGGAGGGCACAGGGCTAATGGGCGGGGCAGCTCACCTCCGCCATCCTGGGGTTCCACCCGCCATGGCCTTCCTGCATCTCCCTCAGGATGTCCGTGTCCAGCAGACACGTGACCTTGTCCCCAGGCTGGAAGGGCTGGCCATCGGCACTCACCCTGCGCTGCAGCTCTGCTGGCTTGCCTGGAGGCGGGCAGCAGGCGCCTGCTCAGGCCGCGCCCCTCCCGGGCCCTCCCCGGCCCCCCCCTCCGAGACTTCACAGGCCAGCCCCAGCCCAGCACTGCCCCAGGTCCAGCCAGGGCAGCACAGCGGCTCGGCAGCCCTTACCGAGCCTTGGGAGGTGTTCCTTGTAGTAGAAGCCACCAGCCGCCTCCGCCACACACTTGAGGTCCACCTTGCCCTTGTGGCCCACGCGGTACACATTGGTAGTGCCATCGGCCCACGTCACACTGGCCACGCTCCGGCCCGTCTCCACATCCCAGCCACGAATGTCTGCCACTCGACCTGGCTTCCCCTCCCCTCCTGGAGAGACAGGGTCCCACCAGCAGGCTAAGCTCAGCCACAAGGCGCAGCCACAGCTGATGCCTGCCCAGCCCCCACCTTCCCACCCTGGACCCCCACTCACCGTCCTGGGAGCCCCACTCCCAGTCGGGGCCTCGCACCACCTTCGCCCCCTGAAAGATGCCCCTCAGTGGGATCCTTGGGAGGCCCTGGCGGGGACTCAACATGACCCTGCAATAGAGCGTGTCCCGGGCCATGCAGGACGGCAGTGACCCCCAGGCCCTCTGCTCTGCCAGCCTCACCCCCCACACCCCGGGCCCAGCAGTTCAGGGCCCTCCATGTTCTGGGCCTGGAGTGAGTCTGCTGACCATGCTCCTCCAGGGACCGTCCCTGCTGCGGGGTTGAGGGCACCGCGGGCCGCCCGCACAGTACGGCCTCTGCACAGCCCCACACCTGCTGCCTCCCAGAGCTGGGAGCCTCGGCCAGGCCGCCTCCTGGGGTCGCACGGCCGTTCCAGGGAGGGCTCAGCACGTGGGTAACGCAGGGATGAGAAATGTGGGCCCAGACAGCTGACCCCTGCTCCACCTCGGGCCACATGTGTGAGGGGATGGTGCCTCTGGGTGCACACCCCAACCCAGTGGCCTGCTCCCCAGCCTGATGCCCTTGACCACAGCAAATGAGCCTCCCAGCCAGACCAACAACTCTTCCCCAGTGCCTAGGGGCTGGCTCCCAGGGCGGGCTGCCCACTGCTGGGCCCAGGGCCACCACGGTGGATGCTTGGCCACGCAAAGGCCACAGGCCACCCTCGGGGCTCTCAGGGCTACACTGGGGAGCCACGCCCGGCTTTGGGGATGGTACCAGGGCAGAGGAGACCTCATCCATGGCACCACCCTCTGCAGACCTGCTCAGTGGACAGGGCTGGTGTCAACATCCAGGCCCCCGGAGTGACCATAACTCCGGCCACTCTTCAAGGCAATGGCTCAGGAAGGCCTTGACCTGCCCCTGGGGAATAGTTAGTAGGGGGCCGCTCCAGTCCTCCAGGGCCAAGACCTGGGCGGGTGTCGGGGTGCTTGCAGGGTCCCCGCGGCCCGCGTCGCGGTGAGCCGTGGCTGCAGAGGCGACGGCGGGACTCACGGGCGCGAGTGGGCCGTCTCGTAGCGCTCGAAGGCGTGGGTGAGGTCGTGCTTGCTGCTCAGGTAGCACTGCGTGCACAGGTCGTAGTCCACGCAGACGCGGCACTTCCAGCGCATGCCCCGCAGCCCGTGTTTCTTGCAGCCATCGCAGATGATGTTGGGGTGCCGCACGCCTGGGGGCGGGGCAGGGTCAGGGGGGGTGGGCGCGCCCCGCCCCCCGCCCGCCCCGCGCACGCACCGATCTGGGCGTTGTCGTAGAGCAGCAGGTCGTGCGCGCCCTGGTAGCCGGCGCGGTAGTTGGTGCGGGCGCCGTGGTCCCACTGCACGACCACAGTGCGGTCGGGGGTCGAGGGGCTGCCGTGGCGGCCGAGCTCCACCACCGTGCCCACGCCGCCCTCGCCGCCGTCCTGCTGGCCCCACTTCCAGTCCACGCCGCGCACCACGCGCATGCCCACCTGCACACCCGCCTGCGGGTCCGGGTCCATGGTGGGCGGCGGTGCTCTGGGCCCTGCAGGCAGAGGGCACCCTCAGGCCACAGAAGAGCTGGGCGGGGAGCAGTGTAGTGAGCATGCGCGCTGGAGTCCGCAGGAGGCCCCGCGGCCACCCCGCAGCAGCCGGAGGGGCACAGGTAGCAGCGCCCTAGTGGGTGGGTGGTCACCTCTTTGAAAAGACCCCTCCGGCTGCTCTGTGGTGAGCTGCAGGGATCTGCGGTAGTGCCCATGAGATGACAGTGGATCCCTGGGACCCTGGGGACAAACCTGGCAGGGAGGTCCCCTCGCAAATGTGTTTAAGAATAAGTGGAGTTGCTCCCAGACAGCAGTGAAAGGTCAGACAGCAAGGCTGACAGAAGAAAACAGAGGGTGCAGCCGGCTGACGGGTGGACGACTACGGCTCAGAGCTGCTGCTCGGCGAGGCACCACTGACACAAAGGGCAGGGACACCGACCGGACCCGTGTGTGGTCCGCACATCCCGCAAAGGGCTTGTACCCGCCATGTGAAACGGGCGCCTGCGTCAGGGGGCAGAGCAGACGCTCCACCGAGAACAGGCAAAACACCGGAACGGGCCACCCGACCACAAAACCACACGGGGAGGGTCACCAGGCCACTGCTCACTCGTGGGATACCACCCACAGCCTTCTGTGAAGAACCTGGCCCAGCTGCCCCGGGTGTGTGCAGCACCCTCGCTGTGTCCTCCTGGCTGAACTGGGTGGGCGAGCCCCAGGGAGCAGGAACCCACCCCACTCCGCCAGCAGCCGCTGGAAGGTGAGCCTCACACACACACGTTGAAGGGACACAGAAAGGTCACAAACAGGACCAGCAGATCCCAGGTGTCGGAGGCAGGGAGACTGGCAGAGGCGGCCGAGGGGGCTCCGGGACCAGGGAGGTACTGTCTCCTGCTCCAGAAACACATTCCTGTTCACCTCGCAAACTGGGCTCACTCATGTCCTGTGCCTCCCTCACTAAGTGACTCTTCAGTCAAGTTTCTCTAGCAACACAAACGGACTTGAAAGACAGTGGAGAGACAGTCCGCAGGACTGCAGGGGGCTGAGGGCCTCCTGGGAGGTGAGGCAGCCGTCACGTCCAGCCTGGAGGCTGCCTGAGCAGTGGAGCGGGCCTCGTGCAGCTGTCGGGACTGCAGCTGGGGAAGGCTTGGTGGGGCACTGCCCCAGACAGGGCTGGATGTGACCCCAGCAGTCTGGCTGCATAGCTTGTGGGAGGCCAGAGAGAGACCCTAAAACTGGCTGGGGTGCAGCAGAGTTGCTTCCAGATCCTGTGAGGGCCCAGCAGCCCTGTATAGCCACTGGGCACTGAGGCCAGTCCAGGGAGGAAGGCCACATCAGCCTCCACCTGGGCCCCACTCCAGGGTCCTGGGCCCAGCTGCACTCCCAGCCCAACACTCAGCATCCCAGGCCTGGCCAGCCAGGAAACACCTTGGCCCAGCTGAGGCTGCCGATGGGCAGTGACAAGAGACAGCAGCCAGCCCGGCCCAGCTCTGAGGCCTGCATCCAGCACAGGGTGGCAGGGTTCTCAGCCCATGACTACCCTGAATGACCCCTTGTGTTCTCAGGGGTATGAGCTGCTCAGCCTACTTGGTCTGCAAATTCCCCCTCCTCCCGGGCAGGGTCCTGGTGAGGGCGCCTTCCTCCCCTGTCCAGGACCTCTGGGGCTTCCACACACAGGTGGACGTTTTGAAAAGGACCCAATAGCTAATGAAGAGCCTTTCCTCAGAGAAACCACTCATTGCTGATTCACCCAGACATCCTCACCTCTCGAGCCACACCACCCTTGTGGCCTGTCCTGCCCTCCCTCTGTGGTCTCTGCCAAGATGAGCGCCAAGGCCCGAGGCCGCAGCAGGCTCCGGCGACAAGGGCTTCTGGTCCTTCCACAGAATACAGCCACACCCAGACCATGTCAAGAATGACCGTTTGGAAATGCCCTGAACGGTGCCAGCAAGCCCCAGACAAGGGGAGGGGCCCTGTGGCTGCCACCTTGCAGTTAGGTATGGCAGGCCCCCCACATGTGACCCCAGCAGACTGCCTGGTGCCTCCCCTTCAGCAGGTGCCACAGGCGTGACTCAGGCTGAGCAGCACCAGCCTGGCAGAGTGGTATCACTGTCCCTTAGGGCACAGGCCCCATCCAGAACCTCGCCAGGCTGAAGACCTCTGCCAGACCCCCACACCCCTTCCCGCCCAGACACACCTGTTGAGCGGCAGCTGGCCAGAACGGCCTCTTTCCAGGCAGCTACAGACAAATATGGACACACGGGCCCAAGGGAAGGTCCCTGTTTGCAGGGGCACCCCAAAAGCAAAGCCCAGAAACTAGCCCTATGCTCAGACAAAGAACTCAAGGAGGAAAGGACCCAAGTGCCATTAGCCAGTGCTGTGGACACAGACAGGGCCGCATGCCCTGTGAGCCTAGCCTCAGCCTACCTGGCCAGCCACCACACCTGCCTGTCTTCTAGCCCATGAGTCCATTGGCCAGGTGCTGCAGGACCATCTCCAAGAAGACATGGGGTGGGGGCACCCCCAAGCAGGAAAGCAAGCGTGGCCCAGCCTTCAAAGGGTGGGCACAGAATAGAAAGTGGGGTCGGGGTGCCTGGCAGGTTCTGGGAAATCAAGGCCAGGCCTCAGCTGGTGAGTGGCAGCAAGTGGAGCCGCTGGGTAGGGTTACCAGGGCACCTCCGGCCAGTACTGCTGTCTTCACACCCGGTATTTTTAGCACAGCCAGACAGCTCTCCCAGTCCTGGCCAGGAAACCACCACCCTCCCAGGGCTGACCCTTGCAGGAGCCCACCAGCCCACATGGGACACCCTAAGCCTTGGATCCCCCCCCCCTCACTTCTCTTGTCCAGACCAACACCCCTTGAGGAGGACGGTGAAGGACAGAGCAGTGTCCAGCTCTTGGGGGCACCCAGTCTGGGAGCCTCCCTGTCACCTCCCCCCACACCTCATCCCTGGAGGTCTTGGGGTCTGCCCTCTGTTTCAGCACCTCGGTCCAGCATGGCATCACCTGGAGCCTGAGCAGGGCTTCTAGCAACGCCTGCCTGCTGTCCCCTCCTCCACACTTGCCACAGCAATGCAGCACCAGCTCCTACATCTCAGAAGCACCTCAGTACAGCATCCTAGGACCCTTGTGAGGTGAGCCAGGTGGTTTTCCAGGCCTCTCCACCACCTTCCTCCACCCACGGCCCTGCCTAATCTTTGTCACTGTCATCCCTGGGCCCAGCACATGGCCAGTTGGGCTCCGTGTGACATCAGGTCCTGGGATCAAAGCTCACCACCTCACCTCAGAAGGTCCACTAGGGTGTATACAGAGAGGGTGGCAAGTGGGGAACGGACCAGGGTCAGGAGCAGGTAGGGGCTGGGCAGGGAGCCCCCATTCCAGTGGGACATTCACCCACAGTTCGCAGGCCAGGTCCATGGCTGGCACCCAAACCTCCTCAGAGGCTGCAGGTGTCAGGACGCGTGACAGGTGTGCCTCAGCAAAGTCAGATCTTACCTCAGAACACACACCAGCTTCGTGCCAGCATCCCAGACGTTTAGCTTCTGTTTCCTGGGTCACAGATTTGCTCAGCCACCAAGGATTTCCTGTTGGAAACCAGGAGCCATTGCCGACACAGACCACAGCAAACCAAACAGGTAGCCAGCCAACAAGTCTGGGGAAAAATGGTTTAAAAAGGCAGTTTCACACTTTCAGCATTTTTCTCAACCAAACAAGTGGCCTCAGGTCCACTCTGTTTGCTGGTCATTCCCCTTTTCACAAGGACCTGCCAGCTTGTGGGGGGCAGAGCTTACAAACCAGGCACTGGAACAATGTACAAGTAAGGTGATCCCCTATTGCGGAATATTTTATTGGAAAAACGGAAAAGCTGTCAAGATTAAATCACATTTGGCTAGGAGTTGGCAAACGCCTTTATTCAGAAAAATAAAGTTGCATGAAGTGGAGACTGGGGGTGACAGAGGCAGCCACTCCTCTCCCTGCACCCCTAGTACCTGCTGCTGCTGCTGGAATCAACAGGCTCCCACTACGTGGCAGCTCTGACTAAGACAGGTGGACATCCTGGGGTGGGGGTGAAGCCCTGAGGCAGCAGAGGAAACCCGACTTGGCTCAGCAAGAGACCTCCTGGGCGGTGGCCCAAAGGAAGTGCAGGGTGGTCACCACCTAGATGGAAGCCCTCACACTGGAGTATCACGCCCCAACCACTGCACCAGGCCAACTGTGGTTGGGATCATGACATTCAGGCCAGAGGAGTGGTGAGAGAGGACTCACCAGGAAGGACTGGGTTGGTCAGGGCTTCCACACACTTAAGCCGCTTGACCCCAGCCCATCGGATGCCCAACAGGAGTCTGTCTGGCACCTTTGCTCATTTCTTCAATTAGTTCCGAACTCAGAGGGGAAGAGGGAGAATTATTGATCAACAACACCCGCCCCCCAACACACACACACTCAAGAACAAGCAAAAGCCCTCTGTCATGCCGCCAGACAGAATAAATCACGTGGTGTGAGCGTCCAGTCTAAGCCACCACCCCGCAAGCCCGTCACGAGCTCACCTGTCTGGCCGTGCAGTCCCCCCGCTGCCCGCCGTGAGCCTGCTGGGCTGCAGCCCGACGCCTGGAGACCTGGGCACCTGCACCGAGCTTGAGCGCAAGCCCCGACCTGTGGCAGCGGGAGACGCGCAGTTGGCACCTCCGACGGGACCGCACGGCCAGGGCTCGCCTGTCTGCTGCTGGGCTGCCCGCTGTGCACGGGCCGTGCCCGGGTCGGCGCCCGCGACACCCAGGCTGCCCCAGGAGCCTGCCTCCTGCCCTGCAGGGCTTCCCGGGCCGGGCCGCCTGCGGGGGGCTGGGGGCTGGGGGCCGGGGGCTGGGGAGACGGCAGGGCCCGCGCGGAGCCCTGGCACGAGCGCCGGCCGGGGGGAGCCGGACGCCGGGGCGGGCGGGACGCGACGCAGCTGGGCGCCCACCCCGCCGCCGACCCCGCCTCCCTGGGTCGCCCCGCCCCCTGTCACTCCACCCTCTCTCCTCGGGAAGCCGCTGAGGCCCCGGCGGCTGCCAGACCCCTGCCCCGGCCGCGGTGTCACCGTCCACCGGTCCACTTGCCCGGAAGTTTGCGTCCCGCCCGTTCGGCGCGGGGACTCCGGGGACCTGAGAAACGCGACTCTGTCCGCCAGCCGGCCGGCTGACAGCCCCTCGGCTGCTCGGCACGAGCCAGCCAGGCCAACCCGCCGCCGCGCCCGAGCCCACCGGCTGAGGCTGCCGAAGCCCCCAGCGCTCGGGCTCCTGGGTCGCCGCAGGGCCTGCCGGGAGTTGTAGTCCGCAGCCCGAGCGCGCCAGAAGCGGGAGCCGGCCTGAACCACAATTCCCAGAAGGCCCCGCGGCGGCGCTGACGCAGGCGGCTGCCGGGGCTCTGCAGCCGAGTGGGCGGGCTGGTGAGCGGGCGGGCGTGGCGGAGGGAGCCCCGGCCCCGCGACGACGGGAAAGCCCGCTTCCTCGGGACGAGCGGGGGCTCGAGCTTGGCTCTGCGCCGCCGTGGACGCGGGGCGCGCTCGCGTTGGACAGCGTGGGACGCACGTCGTCAGAGGGCTGCGGACTGCGGAGGCCTCATGGGACTGTCACCACATCGGGGGCAGGCCGAGCGGCGGTCGCCCGAACGGGAAGGGTCCGGGCTCCTTGTCGGGTGCGCTCGGGGATACTGTTGCCCCGGGTCACCGAGGGCCGAGCTCGCTCGGTGATGGGACTCGGCACCAGAGGGCCAGAGCCTGAGTATCCAATCCAGGCAGCGCGCGGACTCGGGGCCACGCCCTCCGCCCAGGGGTGGGGTCGACACCGGAAGTGCGTCAGTGGGCGGGGCGTGCCGCTCTAGTTCGACCCTACGTGGCGCTCTTGGGTTCGGAGACGCGTTCCGTTGCCGGGGAGACGGAGGCTACGGGTACTTGGGTGTCGGGCTGCAGCATCCTTGGCGGGCCCTTCGGGACGCTGAGATGGACCGTGCTCAAGGCCAACTTGATATACTTTGTTTTCAAATCAAAATACCCTGAATTCACGGAGGACGGAGGATAGTAAAAATCACGGTCTCTTCTGTGCCCCACAGAGGCAAATACTTTCAACGACGGTAGCTTTTCTTGTAACAGGACACTCCGGGTGTCTAAAGCAGAAGCTGCTAGTTGTTTAGGTATTTAAATATTTCTGGGGAGTTCCAGATAAGGTCAGTGAGAACTTGGTCTCCAAACAACTCTGACACCTCTCTGCCCCCATGGCCACGTGACCTCCTTAACCTGTTAGGATTAGGTCAGCTGTCCGGGTGCGTTAGCATAACTGCTTGCTGCGCCCTGTTATTGCGTCAAATCGTGCCTCCATACTTGCACAATATTTCTTTTATTCTTGAGTTAACACTTAGTATTTTTATTTTTTTTTTCTTAGTATGTTTTTTATGCCTAGAGTTTTACTAAACCATAGCAAATGTTTACCCAGGGCTCTGCCATTTTTGCCACATGCCTCTTGATAACATTTTCTAAGGTCTCAGACATATTCTATTTAATTCTGCCCTCCTGTTCCAAGCCAGCCTGATTGCTTTCGAAGCCCGTGTACCAAGCTGTCATCTTGAGCTTTTCTCAGCGAGAATCCTTGTGGCTCTCTCTGCCTTTCTCCTGTGTTGGAGTCCCTGTCTCCTGGAATCTGTGCTGACCCTGTTCTTGGTTTACTGCCTCATTTTGCTGAAGTCAGCCCTCTAGTCGCTTCCTGGGAAGGGTCCATGTCTAAAATGTGTTTATTCTGCCCTCACTCTGATTAATAGTTTGGCAGGGTATAGAATTCTAGGTTGGAAATACGTTTCCTTCAAGATTTTTGAAGTCTTCATTTTGGGTTTTTTTTGTTGTTTTGTTTTTGCTTTCAACTCCCAGGGCTGCAGTTGAACACTCCAAAGCCATTCTAATTCCTGATGATTTGTGTGTGATCTGGTTGTTCTCTGTGAAAGGGTTTAGATCTTCTCTTTATCCTCGGTGTTGTCAAGTGTCACAATGATATTCCTCAATGTGGACCTTTTTACCCATGGTGCTATACACACAGTTGTCCTCTTCTTCCCAGAAGTTCATGCCCATCAGCTTGGGAGCTTTTAAATTTTTTTCCTTTATTGATTTTAGAGAGGAAGGGAGAGAGAGAGAGAAACATTGATGAGAGCCTGGCCAGTGTGGCTCAGTAGTTGAGCATCGACCCATGCACCAAGAGGTCACTGATTCAGTTTCCGGTCAGGGCACATGCCCAGGTTGTGGGCCAAATCCCCAGTGTGGGGCATGCAGGAGGCGGCCAATCAAATGTTCTCTCTCATTGATGTTTCTGTCTCCCTCTCCCTCTTCCTTCCTCTCTCTAAAATAAAAACATCTCCTTAGAAGAGGATTATTGGTCTTTGATCCCAGTTTTCTGCACAGAGCTCCAAAAATTCTTGAATTTCCTAAGTGAAAAGCATCTTAAAGATTATTTTGATATTCATCACAAGCCTTTTTTAACCACAGTTTGTGTTAAGGTAGTTTTTGAAAAACCTCTAAAGATAGGGCTGGTTGTCAGGGGACCCAACCATGTAATTAGGGGGTTGGAACGCTCAGCCTCACCCCCTGACCTGCAGGGACAGGAGAGAGATTTCGTTCAATCACCAACAGACAATGATTCAATCAACCATGCCTATGAATTGATGCCTCCATAAAACAAACAAACATCCCTGGCCAGTTTGGCTCAGTGGTTAGAGTGTCGGCCTGCGGTCCAGAGAGACCCAGGTTCAGTTCCCGCTAAGGGCATGTACTTCGGTTGCAGTTTGTCCCCAGCCTTCGTTGGGTTGTTCAGGAGGCAGCCACTCAATGTGTCCCTTTCACATCGATGTTTCTCTCTCTCTTTCTCTTCCTCTATCTCCAGCTGAACAAAAAACGAAAAAAAATGTCCTCAGATGAGGATTAAAAAAACAATAATGATGAGGTTTGGAGAACTAGGTTGGAAGCTCATGGAGATTTGGGGAGAGTATTTTCCCGAGAGAGAGCACACACGCTCCCTGCCCTTTGCCCCACACCTGCCCTGTACATCTCCTCCACCTGGCTGTTCCGGATTTATGTCCTGTCATAATAAACTGGTAACTTATTACATAAACTTTTCCTGAGCCTTGTGAACCGCTTTAGTAAATGAATCAGACCTGAGGACGGGGTTATAAGAATGTCCAATTTATAGCCAGTTAAACAGAAACCCAGGTGACAACCTGGATTTGCAATGGAATCTAAAATGTGTGTGCGCAGCCCATCAGTCTTATAGGGCTCAAGCCCTTAACCTGTGGGATCTGATGCCACCTCCAGTTAGTGTCAAGATTGAGTTAAACTGGACCTTGTTTGTGAAGATGTAGAAGCATCGAAATGGTTGGAGAGGTCTGACAGGAAAGGTGGGGACAGCGGTGTTCTGGAACCAAAGTGGGACATAAGTAACCTTGCTGCTATGATTCCAAGCAGTAGTCTGAATCAACCTAACTGTTAAGCAGAAGGTGAACCTCTCAGATAGAAAGTCAGTATGTGGGTTCAGGAAGACTGTGGCCCGGAACCAGCAACAACAGGCAAAAAAGTCATTAGAGTGTCAACAGGATCTAGGTCGACTGGCTGCACTGGCTCACGCTTGCATTGACCCAAGAGCAGCTTCAGGACAGCAAAGAATGAAACTCCAGCATTCACAGTTGTCGAAAAATGAAAAAAAGGCTGCAGCAGATGCTGAAGGGGGAGAGGTAATGTGGCCTGGATAAGGGAGATGAAGACCCTGAGAATGTGGGGCTGTGTGAACCCTGAGGACTAAGAAGAGCTCCTTGTGACTAACTGTGCTCGAACAAACTCAGTTGACAGCAGCAAACAGTGGTAATGTCACCAAGAAGGCCACCTCCAGTTCCTCAACCAGAGCAAACTGAGCCCAAGATGACTAGAGAAGAGAAACAAAATCAAATGGTGTTGCTGACAAAAAGGCTTGTGACTGAAATTCTACTGACTGTCACAGGCGAAGACATTTATTTCGTGGCCAAAGATGCACCACCCGCGAGCTGGTGGCCCTCAACGCACTCGGTGGGCCAGAAAGCTGTGAAGGTGGCGGGAGGGGCGGGCACGGAGTCACCTGACGCAATGAGGAAGAATTACAGCACCAAGAAAAAGAACAGCAGCTGTTACGTGACAGACTGAAGGAAGGAAAGCGACCAACAGGAAGGGTCACACAAAGCAAACTGCCCCGTAAGGAGCCCATCGTGATCAGAAGCAAGAGAAGCAGCCGGCGATGTGGTTAATGAAGAGGACAGAGCTCCAAAGAAAGGGCACTGGTTTCAGAGCCGAAAAAGCACGGAAGAGGCAGCCGGGCAGGGAAGTTCAAGCAGGACCCGCAAGCCCGTCTACAGCTCTTGCAGCAGCTGTAGCTCAGGTCCTGGTCCAGGGCCCCACCTCCTTCTCCTAAAAGAGGCCCACTACGAGAGGTCCCCAACAGCTGAGGCTGGACGTGGTGTAGTGGAAGTCACTCTGGCAGAACTTAATGGAGAGCTGC